TTTTCTGGTGTGGTGCATATGGCGGAGGACCTGACAAGGATAATTGTCTAGTCGTTCGGATGGAACTAACAACCGAAGTCCCGTGTACACATTGGCAGTTGGAATACAATATAAGATTAGATCGTAGCGCCGCGGACTTGGTCAATTTTTTCTCATAGCACACTGTATGGCGTATGCCCGTCTTCATTAGCCCAGTAGGAGCAGAGCGGTAGGACGTTAAACCCCATTTCATTTTGTTTTGATTATGACAGAATCGCCTGATTTTCGTGTATGTTGTTTCTGAAGGGTTCCAGTTCTTTCTGTGTGATTTGAACCCCAATCACCTCACGACGAACCATAAATCTACGCTAATATGTCGTGTCGGATTACTAAGGCTTTGATGGTCGTAATTATAAATAGTCTCTGTCAACTATGGTAGAAATAAAATGAAATGAAATGCAACAATCGGTTTAATAAAGACAGACATACATGTAACACTATCTTAGTGATAACAGAGATCAGTTTCGTAAATATAGGATTTATTTACATCGGGTATACAAAACAGCTACAGTTACATATACAACAACGATACGGGAACTTAAACTATACAGGAACTAGACTACGACCGGAACACATATAATTATATTAAATCCAACATTCTGCCCCTCTGCCAAGCCTCTCTTCTCCTCCCCGCTCTGTCTGTCTAACTGTCAGTAAACTTTCCAACCTACTCTTCCTCGAATTCCAACTTCCGGGAGTGGGTTTACTAATTGCACCCCACCGTGTAGACAGACATACCTCATAGAACAGCACGAGAGGAATTATGTCTGAGCAGCGGTGTTCCCACCTACTCTTCCTCGAATTCCAACTTCCGGGAGTGGGTTTACTAATTGCACCCCACCGTGTAGACAGGACCTCGGGGTTTCGTCCCACCACCGGACGACTGTTCCATGCCAGACGTATTGTCCTGTCTAGATAATCGAAGCTATGAATATCCACTGTTGAACAAGTCAAAATGACCTCGTATCCCTGGATAGCTATACAGACTCCAGGCACATGTTCATCAACAAATCGGCCGTAAAAAAAATAAATCTGGCAGGCGAAAGGATGTACAATAGATTCCTGGTATGTCATTGACAGTTGTTTATGTCAGATACTGTCTACATGGCAAATTAAATGCGTAAACCACATCTCAGTTATCCGGAAGTATCGAATATTTTTAAACTGGTCGTCTGGGGAGAATTGTATTTTAAAACTGAAAGCATACTTTCGCCTGTAATCAGGATAACAACTCAGTTTGCAGTGATGCTTAAATACATTAATATGTTAAGAACTGTTCATACGTGGAGGGTAAACATTATAATGGAGAGAGAGAGAGAGGGAAGGAGGGAGAGAGAGGGAGGGAGGGAGAGATGGATTTAACGTCCACGTCCACTCCACATAAACCGCGACTAAAATATGGTTCAATTTTATTTCAATAATTCGCTTGCGCGTAGGGACCTTTAGCTGTGGGAGGTTGGATAGGCGACCCTACTCCTTGCCACGTACTACCGGGGGAATGTAAACCACGCCATGTGTTACTCCTGAAATGACATAGTTTGTGTCGGAGTGGACGTTACCCGCTCGCTCTCTCTCTCCCTCCATTATGGTAAATAGAGTTTGTATTTCCATTGATTTCACGCCCCAATTAAGTCCCGATAACTCATTGCGATTCACAAATATCGAGATCAAAATGGCATCTACTTAAAAGAAAATCCCCAACCCGTATCTATCTTTAAAATAAGGAAAGTTTTTCATTATAGGCTTCTGTAGGTATTAATCTACTAACCTAGTTTGATAGGTCCTGTCCCACGTGATTTGGTAACATCCTGTCATTCTAAGACTGACGATTTATCACGAATATTACGGTATGGACAGTCTAGGTTTATGAGGTTAAAACCCTTTGATCGCCTTTAGTGTCCCAAGGGTATGTTATCAAATCCAAAATAAATCTGGAATATTATCGAGTTTTTAAATACCTATTTCGTTAGTATTGACTAAATTTCTGTTATATGTGGTAAAGGATATTCAGACGAATTTGAAAACATATGGACTGACCAAACCTTTTAGAAAAAATGAGATTATTTTGTTATCGCCACGGCAATTTTGTTACCATAACGGCACTTTGTTACCGGCTCGACACTTTTGTAACCGTCCCAACACTTTTGTTACCGTCTCGACACTTTTGTTAGCGTAACGAAACTTTTGTTACCATTGCGACAACTTTATTACGATCACGACACTTTTGATAGCCTAACGAAACTTTTGTTACCACCATGGCCCTTTTGTTACCACAACGACACTTTTGTTACCGTCACGTACGACCCTTTTGTTACTGACACATCACTTTTGTAACGCCACGCCGTTTTTGTTACCGCCACGGCGTTTTTGTTGCCAAACAGGACACTTTTGCTAGCATCGCAACACCTTTTTTACGACCATGACACCTTTTTTACCACCACGACACTGCTGTTACGGCCACGACTTTTTTGTTACCAAAATGAAATGACACTTTTGTTACCATCACGACACAATTATTACCGCCACGACCCTAATTTGCACTCAAATTGATTATTTAACATCAAATTAAGAATACATAACAAAATAGCAAATGTATCTCCCTGCCTGGATTCAAATCGGATGAAAAAAAGAGGCTCATCAAATTAGTTGTAGGTGGCGCTGGCTTATAGTGGATGTAGAGGAGGCCGAATTTATTATATCTTCATGAATATCAAACATATTCGCTTTAGATAATCACCCGTCTTCATTAGCCCAGCAACTGGCGTGGTTTCGAATCCCCGGTTGTACGTGACAAGGCGTAGGGTCGTCTGTCCAATCTCGTGGGTTTTCTCCGGGTCCTCCGGTTTCTTCCCACTGCTAATGACCCCTACTCGCAAGCGAATTATTAAAATAAAATTAAATCGAATCCCCGGTTGTACGTGACAAGGAGTAGGGTCGCCTGTCCAACCTCGTGGGTTTTCTCCGGGTCCTCCGGTTTCTTCCCACTGCTAAAGACCCCTACGCGCAAGCGAATTATGTAAATAAAATTAAACCATATGTTAGTCCCAAAATGACCTAGTTTGTGTCGAGTGGACGTTAAACCCCATTTCTCTCTCTTTCTCTCTCATTAGCCCAGTTGGAGCATAACAGTAGGACGTTCAACCCCATTTCATTTCATTTATTTAGATAAGCAACATTCACAATAATATTTTGTTTTGCTAGCTATTCAAATTCCCGCAAAGCGCGGTCAGCGAACTTGTAATCCAGTTTTCTGGGGATTTCTGTCAATCTAAAGGCCAATCTAAAAGACTCTACAATAACTCGATGTTATTAACGTTGATAGGCGGGATTTATAAGCTGGACAATTGAATAGCAATTACAGACCGTGAGCGGCCATGTGTGTGAAATAGCTTTATTTTATGTCCGCCTTCACCGAAGTGATATTGCAGACAATTACATATTATATGTACAACGTGAGTTATTTACAAGAGCGGCCATTAGAGAACGGGGATTAAATACCCCGTATTAACTACTTTGGTGTCAATAATGGCTATAGTTGATAGTCCTCCATATCCAGTCGGTAGTTTATAATAGAGTTTGTCTCCTGTGCATATTAACTCTAAACACGTATATTACTCGTTTGTCAATGGTAGTGTGACACCAGTATGCGTGGCGCAATAACAAAAAACCCCAAAACAACAAAGGTTGAAATATAAGATAGATCAAAAGTGATATCCACCTACCGGATGTTCTAACTCGATTATCTATTCTTATCTCCGATATGGACTGGACTGGTTATATGGATACAGATTAATTGATCGTGACTACGATAAACACATTTTTAAGGGCTAAATCTATTTGTTAAGGCCAGGTCAATTTTTGTCAAACTCGCTGAGATGTAAATGTGGTTAGGGCACGTGATAGTTGGCGAGATTGTAGGTTAGGTTTCAGAATTTGGGGGAGGGGTTGAGTCTCCACATACGCACTGACCTAGGATGAGGAAACGTCAGTTCGTGATATTTCCTGGTTTTATAAAAAATAAAATACATACAATACATTGGATTTTAGGGTTAGGCAGGGGCGCCGGTGCGGCGCGAGGGCCAGTGTACCAAGAGATGGGGGGGGGGGTCCCTCCCCCCCGGCCTCTAGAAAATTTAGAAATTAGTCAATTCCGAGAACGCTGTTTAGAGCGCCTCTAGCATTCCAAATTCCAACATAGACATCTGGCCAAGGTATGCACTGATAGCTGAGAGACCCCCCCCCCCCCCAGCCTCTAGAAATTTGTCAATTCCGTGAACGCTGTTTAGAGCGCCTCTAGCATTCCAAATTCCAACATGGACATCTAGCCAAGGCATGCACTGATAGCTGATAATGAGAGAGCAAGAGCCGGTTCGCGACCGACCAGAGTGTAATTACATATCTATCATTTAAAAATAAATAGACTAGTAAAAAGGTTGAAAAATTTCATCATTACGGCATGGGTATACATGTATACCCCAGAAAAGGGCAGGGTACCATTTGTATATCCTGGTACCCGGGTTCCGGCGCCCCTGGGGTAAGGGTTGGGGTGAACACTAACCCTGTTTACATCATGTGACCTATGACGAAAGATTGAGCTGGCCTTATCATTTAGCACTAACTATTTTTTAAGCCCATGTCTTATCTCTTGATGTATTTGATTGGTTAGCTGGTTTGTTTACTTTTGATCAACTATTCTTGCTACCAGCCCATCTCTAGTTCTAAATAGTTGTTAGACATGGGGTTTAACGTCCTACTGTTCTGCTCCGACTGGGATAATGAATATGGACATACATCATGCAGTGTTCTTTGATCGAACAATGGACCTCCAGGTTAGCGAGCCAACGACTTACTCGCTGAACCACTGCGGCCCCATGTTAGACATTCTTTATCAAAGCACATGTGAGCATGTTTTTCCGAAAATATTTTTTCAACACATCTAATAACCCTGTTCTTTATTTCAGATCCATACATTAGAGTGGAGGTTATCCAAACCGGAAGGGGCGTGGCCCGGAAACAAACGAGGACGCGAAAGAATACAACACACCCGGTATTCAAGGAGACTTTCACGTTCACGATATCAACTCGACAAGAAGATTTACTATATACAACAATAAAACTAACTGTCTTTGATTACGACAGAATCAGAAATGATGACGTCATCGGTGAAGTTCGAATAGGATATGGATCCCCGGAAGAAAGTGGCTTAGAACATTGGACGCGAATAACCAGAGATTTGGAACGGGAAGTGAGCCGATGGCATTACATCAATGATGTCTCAAGTAGTTCTTAGTTTCGATCAATCAAGACTGAAATAATTGTGGGAGTTGCATAACGTCGGTGAAGTGTCAAAAGGGTGCCTCTAAGAATTTCTAAAGATTAAGAAATAGAACCTTTTGCATTTCAAACTTTCCACAAATCAAGATACAACACTTGGACACATGATACCCAGAACAGTTCTAATTGGCGTAGAGATACACAGCTTAGACAGAAATGTGCATATTAATTGGGAGATTTTAAAAACGTATTTGACTAATTTCCCGAGATACACCTTTTTGACACTTCACCGTTGATAAATAACATCACATCTTAGAGTATCATTTCTCGTCTACGATATCACCCTTGGCGGAAGTCGACGTAAAACGCCAGGAACGAACTATACCAAGATAAACTATACCAAGACCTTGAATGACTAATAATAATAAATCTATTTCGATAATAATATAATATACACTAGCTCGGTACCCGGCTTAATCGGCATCTCCCTGTTTTGCACGCTTCTCCGCTAGCTTGCATCATCCGGTACTATTATTAAACTTAATTACCATAACAGATATAGTTAGTTAAAACTCCCGTTATCCGTTAATTGCAGGAAAACAGTTTGGCTGCAGACACAGACATTTGGCTGTGTTAATCTAATCTTGATCTTCAGATATGTAGGCGTGGATCGCGGCGACGAAGTGTGGTGGGCGAACATACACGCACACGCATTGATTGTATTTATGTGACCTGTTTAAACAGCGTTTCAATTCTATTATGAAACGCGATCAAGTCAGTTGTCTGCCCGTCCATACCGGTGGATCAGTCAGTATGGCTCACTAACAAGGAAATATGGGGTTCGATACACAATTACTGAGTTTAATACTAAGCGATGTTTCGACGAGCACACTCCCGTCTTTATCAAGCGAACTTTGGACGTATTGTATAGCGTACATTGATTTTAATTTTTAACCATTTAGAATTGACTTTAGTCCATTTTAGCCTTGATTTTGTAGATTTGTAGATATAAACTTGCATTGTAAATATAATGTTTTTAAAATGATTATTCTGTTAGTATTAAGGAATTTGAAAGTCTATTGATATATAGGGATAAAGTAAGGTTACTTTTCTTAGTGCTTTTAATTGTAGTAATTTTTTCTGTTATTTTTAAATGTAATAGCTTATTGAGTTAGATAACGTTTAACTCTTCCAAAATTTTCAACCTTTTTTTAACAGTTCGTTATCTAGAAGCTATGTGCGCATGTGCAAGTTTCACCAAGAAGAGATGCGAATTCCGCAATACGACTTTTATAGTATCCATAGAAATGTTGGGGGGGGGGGGTAAAAAGAAAAATGATATGTAAATGTTTGCGTACGCATACCGAGCCCTTATATAACCCGCTGCGGGTCTATTTTGGTCCAGTTGCCATAACTTCCATTTCGACTATTTTCATTGCGTTTATTCAGTTGGTTTCCCGGATAACATATAACGACGTCATTACGTAAAGTGCATACTCATAATATTAATCGTAAACCGACACATATCGTGGTATTTACACTCACCCGTCTAACAGCTCAGTACGTGGAATAGATATTTCCACTTACCCATCTAATAGGTGCGTGGAATAGATATTTGCCATATTTGCTCTTGAAATCTGGGCACTCACGAAATGGGTAGTAAAGTTTAGTTTTGTACATATATATATACATTGCCTCATTTTACGACGATGTATCTAACTTTAGCGTATAAATGACACATGGTTAAATATTATTTTAATAATTCGCTTGCGTGCAGGGGTCTTCAACAGTGTGGGTGGGGGCGGAAAACCCGGTGAGAACCGACGAGCTTGAACAGACGACCCTACTTGTCACGTACAAGCGGAGAATCGAAACCACGGCAGTTGATTCAATGACAGACCTTATGATTTAAGTAATACGCGTTAAAACGTTCGGCGAGCATACTTGTACGAGACAAGCGGGGAATCGAATCAACAAAATGACAGACCCTGTGATCCAACGCACATGCGTTAACCATTCCGCCCCACCCCACCCCCTCCACTACTGGAACAAAGTAAAGTTTAGTTGTGAATAGTTATAAAGCTCAGATTATTTTTTTGTAATTAAGTAATGGGGCAATCTACTCATTGTGTATTTTACTCTTTCGTTCACCTGAAGGTGTTTTAATCTGAGGCCTCCGAATTTTTATTGATGAAATTGAAGGTATTTAATTATGAGGCCTCCGTATTTTTATTTATGAAATTGAAGGTAATTTATCATGAGGCCTCCATATTTTTATTGATGTAATTGAAGGTATTTTATCATGAGGCCTCCGTATTTTTATTGATGAGATTGAAGGTCTTTTATCATGAGGCCTCCGTATTTTTATTTATGAAATTGAAGGTAATTTATCATGAGGCCTCCGTATTTTTCTTGATGTAATTGAAGGTATTTTTTCATGAGGCCTCCGTATTTTTATTGATGAAATTGAAGGTATTTTATCATGAGGCCTCCGTATTTTTATTTATGAAATTGAAGGTAATTTATCATGAGGCCTCCGTATTTTTATTTATGAAATTGAAGGTATTTTATCATGAGGCCTCCGTATTTTTATTTATGAAATTGAAGGTATTTTATAATGAGGCCTCCGTATTTTTATTTATGAAATTGAAGGTATTTAATTATGAGGCCTCCGTATTTTTATTGATGAAATTGGTTAAATGTATATAAATTGTGATTATGAAATAGACATCGACACTGTAAATATATTAGCAATTCTGTGTTTTCATTATTCCACGATTCTTTGGATGGTCGTTATAACGGTTTTGAACTTGGGCTCTTATCTCAAAAATCCCAGAGAATTGAAAATTTAGAATTTGAATCATTTTCAATCAAATCATACGTCAGATACCCACAATATCATACCTAACTACCGCATCCTTGGTTTTCAAGTCCCGTAACTCTGTGCATAGAGGACAAATTGGATGAGTTTTAAATTATTGTTCTAATATTGATGCAAAGAGAACTATAGCATGGTGTAAAACTGTCTATGCAAACGGATTTATAGCGAATACTCAAATATATTTGAAATTACCAATTTCTTTTTTCTCTGGGATAAATGAGATAACTTTGTTTGTTTCTCTCTTTCTGATTAACATCTTTCAATAAACCATAAAATAAATGCAGGCATTTTTCAATTCTTTAAAAGACATCTAGAAGCATGGTTAACTGTTCATAAAAAAACCCACAACACAAGGTATATATGGATATAACTACTTCTCTATTATTTAATAACTTGAAAACGTGACATGTAGGTGTTTAGTCTCGGTCACCCAGAACCTCCTAGTCTTCAACATACGGAGGGTCTGGGAAGGTTGTCAATATTTGACGTAAAGTCCATTGCCCATGCGTAACCGGGAGTTTGGTTTTTAATATTGTTGATTATCCAGTCTCTTTAGCCATTTCAATTAAGAGTTGCGCCCCTTCCCACAATAAATCCCACAATTCTTGCATTAATATAAAGAAACATGAATCGTGACGACGAATTAGGATTAATTTTAAAAGCATAGATATGGCCCATGAAGAGAGCAATTTTACAATAAAAAATTAAGAGTGTTAGATATTGAACTCGCATGCAATCAAATGGATTTTTTGAAATGACATTCTTAAATTAATTTCATGGGCGTAAACATCTTGTTTTAAGAGGAGTTACCTCCCTTAGACATTGTTTATGATAATGTGAAAGACCGGACTATCTAGCCAATTTTTCTCAAACGTTGACAACCTGTCCAGACTAATATTCGTAGAATATTTTTCTGGATGATAGAGACTAGTAGGTGTTACGAAACGCAGTTACATCCATATATACCTTGTGTTGTGTTTTGTTATGAATGCAGGCATTTTTGTATGTGTGTTTTAATTAAATGACTATCATCTGGAATTATAATTAACCGCCCCTGTCATCCATTTCAGGGGGAGGAGGTGGGAGTATTCTAATTTGATATTATCTGTTTAACTTCGTTTGACCAGCTGTCTGACTTACCATCTTCCCTTCCCATACTGATCAGAATTGGATCAATCTGATTCAAATACCGATCTATATTTCGTTTCGTTCTTTTTTTATACTTTCGATGGTCTCTACTACATGAAGATCTGACCCGTTGACCAGTTGTAGTGGGAGGTCGCGTCAGGCTCATATCAACGGCTTTTGAACTATGCCGTCAGACTTTTGATTAACCAATCAGCGTTGATGTTGCTAGTGGATTACCCTTAGTTCCATGCAACTCACGCAAAACCTCGCCGTAACAGATCGTTTCATTGGCCAGTCTCTCACATAATCCAGAACGCGGGTTACATAACAACTCTTCCAGATCCTAGTGTAGTAAAGACAAGTAAAACGAAATTTTGAACTATAAAAACGAAACGAAATAGGATGTGTGTTTTAATCAGAATGAGTATTGGGCCTTATATTTGAATATTTGGGACATACAATCAAGAAATTGAGCCCAAGAATCATCAACCTCTGCATACCTTTGATCCAAAGGACTAACCGTGGAATTTCAAAAGGTAAACTTTGATGGAGGACCGACAGGTGTTTCACAACAACCCATAACACATGACTTATCGTCAGGGGGTGGGGGTGAGTCAAATTCGGAGATGGGTAACGTCCACTCTGCACAAACTAGGTCATTTCGGGAATAACACATGGTTCAATTTTATTTCAATAATTCGCTTGCGCCTAGGGGCCTTTAACAGTGGGAGGAAACCGGAGGTCCTGCTGAAAACCCACGAGGCTGGACATGTGACCCTACTCCTTGTCACGTACAAAATTGACACGGGAATTAATCAAAACCATGCCAGTTGACTCATTGACAGACCGTATGATGGACGAACATTGCAAGATAAGTAAAGTAGTTATAATGATATATTTTTGCACCTATTTTTTTTTTTTTTTTTTTTTTTGCTATCGCCCTGATTATTTGTTACTTATTTTTTTTTCGGGTTTAATAATGGATCAATGCATAGAAGTGGTTAACTTTAATTCCATCAGTATTTTTGTTTTAATTACATGTACTTGAGTTTGGGATGGGGCGGGGTAAATAATGCAATACTTGGCTGGTGAATGGGTCCCACGCAATATCACCAGTTCTAGGACACGAAGCTCTATTCCGTTTTGTATGGTTATTTATTCAACATCTTCGACAATTAGTGTAGGATGTTCTGAAGGAGGTCGAGAAGGGCCATCTGGATTATAACTTTATGAAAACAATTATCTGTTATTACTAAAACACGTGTTTTCTATCTTTTAGTTTATTACTAGGTCTTGAAATTATCAACGAGAATTTAACTTCATTACTGTAACAATGAAAATGTCAAAGATACTAATAATGTAGTCTCGGTCTTCAATTAGCCTTGGTTGCCTGCCGAACAACGATCAGATTTATTTCTCTTTCAAGAATTTATCATCCTATATATTAAAGGTAGACATTATGTTGTTTACGGTTTATCATGTCGATTATATCCCCTTCTAAATACTCTAGAAATATTAGGGAAATGTAAAAAATGAAATGAAATAGGGTTTAACGTCCTACTGTTCTGTTCCGAACTGGGCTAATGAAGACGGGCATACGCCGTACAGTGTGCTATGAGGGAAATTTTGCCCGAACAGCGGCACAACGGTCTATTCTTATATCGAATTCTAACTGTCAAGGGATCTTTTACATGCATGCCAATGTGTACACGGAACCTCGTTTCTTCGTCCCATCCGAACGACTATACAGTTGTCCTTGTCAGGCCCTCCGTCCTGAATCATTGACAAGGGGGAACCACGCCGGAAGTTTATTGGCCAATGCAGAACTGTAAAGAACATGGTGGTCCAGTAACTGGGATGGATATAAACTTACTTGACGAATTCAGCGAGAAACAAGATATTTGGGCACCACCATCGCCTCGTCATCCTTCAGAGGCGACTAGTTAAACTTCCTGGTGGTAAATTTAAGTACGAATGTTCTTGAGTGGATGAGCTAAAAACGTCTATTCGGAATGCTATAAAAGCAGAAATGAGTTGAAAAATGATGCCGATACATTATTGAAATTTGTTTACTCTGTGAAGGGGGTTGGATGGCCGAATGGTTAGCACGTGCGCGCTGTATCATAAGGTCTGTCATTGAGTCAACTGGCGTGGTTTCGATTCCCCGGTTGTACGCGACAAGGAGTATAATCAAAGGCCCAACCTCGTGGGTTTTCTCCGGTTTCTTCCCACTACTAAAGACCCCTACGCGCAAGCGAATTGTTGAACCATGTGTTAGTCCAAAAATGACCTAGTTTTGTCGAGCGGATACCCCATCTCTCTCTCTCTCTCTCTCTCTCTCTCAGTGTATGAAAACATGCTCATTCTCAATCTATTTGTTCCTTACTACATGCTATTTCTCCTTTGTGCTTCTCTGTTGCTACGTGGCTGTAAATGTGAGACAAATTTCATATTTTACCACCGATACTTCTTTCTCCACTATTGTAACTGTCGAGGGGATTTAACTGCCTAAATGTACTCAACTTTCATTGTTAATGGGGGTTGGGTGGCCGAAAAGTTAAAACGTGTGCATTGCATCATAAGGTCTGTCATTGAGTCAAGTGGCGTGATGTCGTTTCCCCGGTTGTACGTGACAAAAAGTAGGGTTGCCTGTCCATCCACGTGGGGTTTCTCCTGGTTCTCCCACTGCTAAAGACGCCTACAGGCAAGCAAATTAATGAAATAAAATTGAGCCATGTGTCATTCCCAAAATGACCTGGTTTGTATCGAGTGGACGTTAACCCCCCTCTCTCTCTCTCTCTCTTTCTCTCTCGCTCTCTCTCTCTCTATCTATCTCTGACGGGGATATTAATATTGTACAATGATCAATTTCAAATCTTCAAACGATTTATTGATCTCTAGATCATTTACTTCTTGATGATCCAATGAGGCGAACATAACCTTGATCTCTTTATTATTAATCCAAGACCAGTCGTCACCACCCCATAAGAGCACAACACAGAGACGTTAAACCTCATTTCATTTCATTTTAGTATTAACCCAAGACTATGAGCACGATGTGTGGATTTGGCGCTATATAAATGGACATATTATTATTATTTACCCAACCCCGATAGAATCATTCATTTAGTGCAAAAGTTATCTGACTTCAACAAAATAGTCCATTGTTAACAGGTTAGATCTATTTGATAAGGTCAACGTCAAGTTTGGTCAAAGGTCACGAGATATAAACATGCCTAGCGCTAATCCCAACCCTAGCCCTAACCCTGGATCTAGCTCTTATGCTAACCTTAACCTCCAATCACGCCAACAATCACATGCCTAACCTTATTTACATCCCAGCGATCTTGACGAACATCAAGCTGCCTTAACAAATAGATTTAGCCATTGTTAACAATACATGGTGTTTAATATTGTTTTGTTTAATTGGGTTTTGTTTTAGAAAAGGAGAAAATAAAATAAAAAACAAACAAAGAGGAGTATTAAATATTTAATTATCACAGTTCAGATGAGGTGAAAATAATTTGAGATAAAACAATTTTACAAAAAAACCCCAAGAAAAGCCGGATTAAGAAGGCGTAAATATTGTAGGCGGTGAATTATTAAATGGCTTAACGATACAACTTCCGGAAAGGTACACTACATCCGTTAATAATAACATTAAACATTAAGTACAATGCGCTCCACGACGCATGTTCTTATCGATAAATGACGTATTTCCGGTTCATATATACGTTAATAAATGTATCGCAATATATCCTTCATCTCCGTATTTAATATTGTAGCCTAGAAACCTATCAATATTACCCTCTTCTTGTCATTGATATATCATCGCCATTCACAAGCCCACGGTTTTGTTTTCTTTGATACGTCAACAAAAAAAAACCCCAAAAACCCAAACAAACAAAAAACAAACACCCCAAACCGCTTTAACAATTAATTGCAGCGTGATAAATCAAAACAAAATTAATCGGAGACATATTGTACAAAATTTTATGTTTTAAAACAAAGAGTGTCAGTTTTATTTATTGTAATGGCACACAATTTATAGCAGTGTGGATTATAGATTTATGACAGGAAACACTGCGTGGGGTATGTAGCTCTATATTTACTGCACAATAACATTTCATAATCCGACTTTCAACACATAAAATAGAACAATTTGTTGAGTACACATAATATAATATACATAATATACACAAACGCTGTTTAAAGGAGAAGGTCGACCTTTAAGATTTCTTTCCAATTGGTCTCCAAATATCAGTACCATTTCATATTTGACTTCAAACACATAAAATATAACAGTTTGTTGATTTACACAAAATATACAAATTACACATAACGACTACTTTGTTTAAGGGAGGAGTTCGCCTTAACATTAGCTTACAATGCGTCTTCAAACATTAAAAATCTAAAATAAGCCTCTTGGCATACTAACATACACAATAAAAGGAAAACTTCCCCTTTAAGAAAAGGCGACGAAAGAAAATAAGGAAATGGTGATCTAATGTGGACGGAATTTTCAGGTATATATTTTAGGCAATACTGTGTTGACAAAGATTTTAAAAAATAAAATGTTTCAAAAACATAATCATTTTATAACATATACTAATATATATATACAGCTCATAAAGAAAAGAAATTAGTATGTACAATGTTCATTATTAATTTTAACGGTACTGATCGAGTTATACATTTGATAAATTTGTTCCCCAATCCCATTCAGACATCCCGAATAAAAATATTGTTTAAAAAAATACATTTAATTTGATAAATAAAATATTATAGGTGCTGCTAAATTCGAAAATCTGAAAATGTGTTATTTTATAAAACGTACCATGTGGACTGTGTACATAAGATTCGGGTCCGTGTGAACTGTGCACATAAGATTCCGGTCCGTATGGACTGTGCACATAAGATTCGGGTCCATGTGAACTGTGCACATAAGATTCGGGTCCATGTGGACTGTTCACGGGAGATTCGGGTCCAGATGGGCTGTTTATGCCAACAAATATCAGACAAAGATCACGAAAAAAAAAAACAATCCCTGAAAGAGAAGCACTATATTTTAGCAGCACTTAAGAAGCCGTGTTGATTAGACAGCAAGCAATTGGTTTTAGAACGTACATTGCAATTAACCTATTGCCACTAGCCTATGTTCATTGAATAATTGATTCGCGCCCATTGAAACTCTGATAGCCTACAAGACTAAGATGGATTCTGTACTTGCGTAGACGTTGGTACCGAGTAGAATTAGAAGCGCATGGTGACATATTGAACGGCGAAAGATAGGAAAGGCGTGGCTACATATTGAATTGGAAACTATAACGCCAATTGAAAGTAGAGTTATTCTCGTTTTAGCGAATTTTTCGACCGTTAACGTTTTGTTATTGACCTAAGATCCTATCTTAGATTCACATCATAGAAAAATATTATATACATTTAATACAACAATACAAATAGGATGTGGGAGTTATTCCCCTTTAACCTTTCCGCTTAGTTGGTGTTTGTTGTTGTTGTTGCTGTTGCTGTTGTTGCTGTTGTTCTTCAATTCTTTCTGCTTCTTCTTTATCTTTATCTATTTTATCAATCATGTTATCGGTCTGAAATGATGTACACACCCATTTTAAATACAATCTGATTACAATACAGATCTATATTTCGTTTCGTTTTTTATACTTTCGATGGCCTACACTACATGAAGATCTGACCGGTTGTTGCGGTAGGTCACGCCAGAGGTCATACGAGCGGCAAGTGAGCCTATGACGTCAGACATAGTGAGCATTAGTGTTACTAGTGGATTACCCACAGTTCCGTGCAAAACACGCCTAAAGCTCGCTGTAACAGATCGTTTCATTGGCTAATACCTCACACTATTCAGAACACGTCATTGATAACAACTTTTCCAGATCCTAGAGTAGTTAAGACAAGTAAAACGAAATTTTGAACAATAAAAACGAAACGAATTAGGATCGGTGTTTTAATTAGATTGTTTTAAGTACAGAGAAGAAAACTTGGAATGGTCATCAACATCGAGCGGGTTGTATACCAAAACAAGCTCATCTTTGTTGCCATGGATACAAAACAAATAATCAATCAGAGAAATCATGGGGCAAGCATTGGGACAATATCAGGGTATCAGTATCACTAACTGGCAGCCCGAATGTTGTCTGCCAGCTTGACTTAGGGAGCGGTTGTTATTTCTTGATAGAATGGTTAGACGGTTTTGGGAGAGAGAGAGAGAGAGAGAGAGAGAGAGAGAGACGGGGTTTAACGTCCACTCGACACAAACTAGGTCATTTCGGGACTAACATATGGTTTATTTCAATAATTCGCTTGCGCGTAGAGGTCTTTAGCAGTGGGAGGAAACCGGAGGATCCGGAGAAAACCCACGAGGTTGGACAGAATAATTACAGAATTTACTTAGGCCCAAATATGAATGGTAAATAGACAATACGTAATAATACATACATTCTGGAAAATTGTCCCTCCCTCAATCAAGTTAGGTGACAAACATGGCTTCTAAAATTAGATTTTTTTAATAGTTTGGGGTATCTCCTCACGAATACAATGTTTTGAAATTTGTGATAGATTAATTAATTTGAAAATTTTTTTAGTCTAAATATATCATCAAATCACACAGTTTGTACGTGGGAAGTTATTTTTTAAGCTTCAAATTTCTTTTCCCAAATTTCTTTTGGATTGGGGAACAGGCTTAGCCTATGGACCCCCTCTCCATAGTATACAAATACAAACATTTAAATACAAAATAATAGTAATAAATATACAAGATAATTGAAATTTGATGGCTATTTACATTATATACAAATTACATAGCCACAACAATATTTAAATTCAAAATTCATGACTTTAAAACCTCTTGGAGATGTCGAGAAAACATGGCTTCTAATATTAGATTTTTTTAATAGTTTGGGGTATCTCCTCACGAATACAATGTTTTGAAATTTTGGATAGATTAATTAATTTGAATATGTTTTTAGTCTAAATATATCATCAAATCACACAGTTTGTACGCGGGAAGTTATTTTTTAAGCTCCAAATTTCTTTTCCCATTTCTTGTTCTGCTGATAACAGTATCCATATGCAACCGCTTTATTTGGTTGCTGATAAACGTTTACCGGTTTGTTTTAAAACTGGGTTGTTTTTTTTGATTCAATATATTTTAATTGAATGTATTTAATGATCACATTGTAGACTTGCCTCTCTACTTATTTAATTACAACATAGAGACCCACGGTGGTTAAGACGCTGGCTCGCTTGCCTGGAGGTCGCGTGTTCGATCCTTGTATTGTCTGAGTAAGTTCATTGGGATTTTCCGGAGTGGTTTCCCCTTGTCAGTGGTGCAGGACGGAGGACCTGACAAGGACAGCTGTCTAGTCGTTCGGATAGGACGAAAAACCGAGATCCCATCTATACATTGGCGTGGACGTAGAAGATCTCTTGGCAGTTCTAATTCGATATAAGAGTCCCATTCGAACAACTAGACAGCTGGCAAAGTTTATTTGAGACATTATTGATAAAACGAATAAAACTCCAGACGGTGTTATTACGAGATAATATCACATGGACTCATGTATACATTGGCGTGCACGTAAAAGATCCCTTGACATATAAGAGTAGGCCAAAGTGCCGCTGCCCGGGCAAAATTTCCCTCATAGCACACTGTGTGGCGTATGTCCTTCTTCATTATCCCAGTCGGAGCAGAACAGTAGGACATTAAACCCTATTTCATTTCATTTCATTTTATTTAATTATAGCAGAACGTAAATAAAGTGGCTATTGTTACGACGAGTCTGAGCCAAATTTAGAACGAATTCCAAAATGGCTGCCAATCTCCCCAACACGAGCTTTGAAACAGGAGCAGTATTTTCAACGTTTTCAGAACTGAAGGCGGCAATTAGAAGATGGATAGGGTTAGGGTTAGGACTATTTTTACGACTATTCAGTTTTTAACTTCGCCGATGGGGGCCTGGGAAAGCATCGTCGTAACAATTATAGCTTGAGGACTATTTTTACGACTCGTCGTAACAAAAGCCAATTCCTATTAATAGGTGAATTGTTGTATGATGAGATAATGGCTCAAGGGGAGGTAACCTAGTGATTAATAGACCTGAGTTTAATACTTAACCATTGAAAAGGACGTCCGAGGAACAATCAACACTATAAACCCATTTTAAGATATATTATTGAACGGGAGTAACTTAATCAAATATTTAATCATTTCTTATCTAAATATTTAAGAAATACTGTAATGGAAATGTTTCTAAACTCGGGTAAGTATTTCTAAACATCTGAAATAAAGTTATCGGAATAGAGAACTTTAATTGCTGTTTGCCCGTTATTAATTTTATTACTACGTAAATAAAACAGATCATTGATCGTTAATAGAAATCGTTTAATCCAATATTGAAAGCTGTGACGTCAATTTATTGTTCAGCTGGTCAGCAACAAAACCGCGTGTTATTTATTCATTTGGTACGAAAGAACCAATGCTCTAAAACCAAATGCTTTTCAATACACGCTGTTCTGGTGGGGTTTCGCGTCCACTCGACACAAACTATGTCATTTCGGGACTAACATATGGTTGAATTAATTTTAATTCAATAATTCGCTTGCGCGTAAGGGTCTTTAGCAGTGGGAGGAGACCGGAGGACCCGGGGAAAACCCACGAGGTTGGACAGGCGACCATACTCCTTGTCATGTACAACCGGGGATTCGAAACATGTTGTTCTGGTATAATTCCTGTATTATCTGATGACTGATTGGATATATGCCTTCCGAAGTTGATGTCGATATAACCAATTCTCATTTTTAAAAAAAAAAACAGTCAAAAGGATCGTACTACATAGCTTTTTATTAAAGACAGAGAGAAATGGGGTTTAACGTCCACTCGACACAGACCAGGTCATTTCGGGACTAACATATGGTTTAATTTTATTTACATAATTCATTTGCGCGTAGGGGTCTTTAGCAGTGAGAGGAAACCGGAGGACCCGGAGAAAACCCACGAGGTTGGACAGGCGACCCTACTCCTTGCCACGTACAACCGGTGATTCGAAACCACGCCAGTCGACTCAATGACAGACTTTATGATACAGCGCGCGCACGCTAACCATTCAGCCATCCAACCCCCCGCTTTTTATTAGACACGAACAATGGCCAATAAGGGGCTCAAAACTACAATATCAGATCAAAACGAAAAATAGTTTTAAAGAAACCTATAATTATAATACAAGATCGTTACCCAAAATAGGATTTCAGTGGAACGCAGCTTGGTTTAAAATTATTTTTAGTGTATTCGATATTCCTAATCAAAATCGAATGATGTTTTTAGTAAAGAACGTTCAGCTCCATGTGATATTATCTCGTAATAACACCGTCTCAAATAAACTTTCCCAGTTGTCCTAGTTGTTCGAATGGGACTCTTATATCGAATTACAACTGCCAAGGGAACTTTTACGTACACGTCAATGTATAGATATGATCTCAGCTTTTCGTCCCATCCGAACGACTAGACAGCTGTCCTTGTCAGTCCTGCACCCCTAACAAGGATGGATCCTCTGGCTTGCACCACTGACAAGGATAAACCACTTCGGATAATCCCGATGAACTTTTTCGGTCAATGCAGGGAATGAACACGCGACCTCAAGGCTAGCGACCCATCGTCTTACCCACTGTTCAAATAATCGACACGTCTCTATTCATAGCATTATGATATATAACTTACCCAAACATAAAAAGTAGCAGCACCATAACTTGCATCTTTAACTTCCTCGATACTGTAAGCATCTAATATATCTTTCACTCTGCCTGACGTTTTATCGCTGACATTTTTCGTATCAAATTCACTGACTTGACGTATTAACTTGTCACGTGTTAGTTGACCCAGATGCGACTGAATCTCTGACCAATCCTACAAATAAAATATAATGTTCTATTACAAAGGGCAGGGAGCAAGATCCTATATCGTTTCGTTTTTTATATTTCAAAATTTTGTTTTACTTGTCTTTACTACACTAGGATCTGGAACAGTTGTTATGTAAGGTGCGTTCTTGATGATGTGAGGGGTTAGCTAATGAAACGGGCTGTTGTAGCGAGTTCTTGGTGTGAGGTGCACGGAACTTTAGGTATACCACTAGAAACTTCAACGCTGATTGACTAATCAATGTTTGACGTCTTAAGGTTGAAATCCGCTTTTATGACACCTGACGCCACCTTCCACTACAATTGATCAGATCTTCATGTAGTGTAGGATGTCAAAAGTATAAAAAAGCGAAACGAAATATAGATCTGTATTTTAATCAGGTTGGACAGGGTGTCTATATTTCTAGTTATATTCATTTGTAGAATAAAATGGGATTTATTATCACCCTTCTCTACACATACTGGTCTAATGCAGACGAGTATACACCTTTGGTTATGGAGCAAATTACAATTCCATATGTCAAGGGAAATGAAATGAAATGGGGTTAAACGTCCTACTGTTCTGCTCCGTCTGGGTTAATGAAAATGAGCGTACGTCATAAAGTGTGCTATGAGGGCAATTTTACCCGGACAGCAGTGCTACGACGCATTCTTATATGTCAAGGGGTTCATTTACCGCAACGTTCCATCCGAACGACTGGTCAACGAGGACACGACTAGCACCAAGATCGGACCAAATTGTAATAAAAACCATCTTTTATAATAGGATTGTAATCGACATTAGTTTCAGTATTGATTATAATTACAGGTAATTGATCAATGTCATAGCTTCACTAAGTATTGTACTTAAAGTTACAAGTAGATCGATGTCTCTAAGATAGCTAGAAAAAAAAACGATTTTTAGATCTGCGTGGAATAGGCCGCATGTGTATGACATTCCTGTTCACTGCACACCGTTGCACACATACAGTGTATGTATCCTACGGTTTGCCTTGAACAGGAATACGACAAAGCAACTGTACAAATTAAAAACACTTTATGATGTCTAGGTATAATTGCCAGTGTTTTTCTTAGATGTAATTTAGAAATAGGATTATTTTCCTCAATTTACGTATTGATGATGAACTTGGTGTTACCATGGTAATCCTGTGATTTAGTTCATTACGATTCGTCTAACTGGTAAACGTTCGTGGCCAAATGATAAACTTATTCTAGTTGTCAGTGGTTCTAATTAATAACCAATCGGATTAAAACATAGATCTATATTTCGTTTCGTTTTTTAAACTTTCAATGGCCTACACTACATAAAGATCTGACCAGTTGTAGTGGGTGGTCGCGTCAGGGGTTATACGAGTGGCTTTTGACCCTACGACGTCAGACATTATTTTGATTAACCAATCACCGTTGATGTTTCTAGTGGGTTACCCACGGTTCTGCGCATCGCACGCCAAGAGCTCGCCGTAACAGCCCGTGTCATTGGCTAATCCCTCACATCATCCAGAACGCAGATTATATAATTACTCTTCCAGATCCAAGTGTAGTAAAGACAAGTAAAACGAAATTTTGAACTATAAAAAACGAAACGAAATACGATCTGTGTTTTAAGCAGATTGATTAATAACCACATTCTTGTTGACGTTTGTTTAATAAACTTATTAAAGATGTAACCCTGATAATCCCGTGTGTGGGTTCGATTCGTAACACCTACCATTCGTCTAATTGATAAAGCTTTAGATCTTAATGATAAACTAGGTGTTAATATTGGCCTCGTCCTCACCGTAACCTTGCCTAAACAACTGTACAAACAAATTTAAAAAATCAAAGTTATTCTGGTATAAATTCGATGATTAGTCCGTGGATTAGGGTTAGGATTATTGGGGTGGTGCAACCACTTCTTGACCCTTTGATCTTGAAAAAACGTCTAGAACCTTCAGTATGGTTCTTTAGATGTCCACATAGCATTTTGTAAGCGGTCCAATGAACCCTTTTACAATATTTTTACAGCTTTGATTTCAGAGGATTCGGAGAGAGAGAGAGAGAGAGAGAGAGAGAGAGAGATTAACGCCCACTCGAAACAAACTAGGTCATTTCGGGACTAACACATGGTCCAATTTTATTTCAATAATTAGCTTGTGCGTGGGGGTCTTTAGCAGTGGGAGGAAACCGGAGGACCCGGAGAAAACCCACGTGGTTGGAAAGGCGACCCTACTCCGTGTCACGTACAAACGGGGAATCGAAGCACGCCAGTTGACCCAATGACATACTTTATGGTACAGCGTGCACGCGCTAAGCAGTCGGCCATCCACGGTGCTTACTTACCCCTAACTTATGTTCGGGATAACCCATCAACATATACGTAGCTGCCATGACGTCATGGACACATGGCGGTGGTCGTTGATAACTACGTAACTCGGATATAGTGCTTTGTTCCATTTTACATATATCGTGTGAACATCGGTTTAATTCCTGGAGATGGGTTCTCAGTTTCTCCGCGTTCTCTATCTGTGAATGAAGTTTATCAGCGTATTTAGAATTCCTGGCCTCCTCGATAGTTTTATCTAAAACACCAGCGTGACGTCTTCTAACAGAATCTCGTAAATCTGAAACAAATAAAAACAGGCCCATGCATGACAACAGCGTACTTTAAAGTAACTAAACCAATCTGATTAAAACACAGATCCTATTTTGTTTCGTTTATACTTCAAAATTTCGTTTTTCTTGTTTTTCTACACTAGGATCTGGAGGAGTAATTATATAACCTGCGTTCTAGTTGATGTGAGGGATTAGCCAATGAAACGGTCCGTTACAGCGAATTCTTGGCCAATCAAGTGTCTGATGTCTTAGGGTTAAATTAAAAGTCGCTTGTATAACCCCTGACGCGACCCCCCGCACACACACACACTACAACTAATCATATCTTCATTTAGTAGAGGTCATCGAAAGTATAAAAAACAAAACGAAATATTGATCTGTATCTTAATGAGATTGTAGGTAAACCTATTCGATTTTGGTCAATTAAATGGTTGAATAGGGTTATAGCAAACGAAAGTGAAGTTTGTTTTTACCAATTAATTTCGTTTGTGGCCTAAACTGACTACAATGGAACACAAAAAAAGCTGTATCCTCCCAACTTTCACTCAATTTGTGGACCTACAATTTTATCAGACACCTATTTTATATTTTACCGGACGCCATTTTACTCTAGAAATCGGAAGCCACGGTGGCTAAGTGGGTAAGACGCTGGCTCGCTAGCCAGGTGTTCTAGTGTTCGATCCATGCTTTGGCCGAGTAAGTTAATCAGGATTTTCCGACGTGGTTCCCCCTCGTCAGTGATGCAAGACGGGGGGCCTGATAATGCCAGCAGTCTAATCGTTCGGATGGAACGAAATCCCGAGGCCCCGTGTATACATTGGCGTGCACGTAAAATATTCCTTGGCAGTTGGAAATTCAATATAAGATTTGCCGGACAATATTCCCCTCATAGCACACTGTATGGCATGTGCCCGTCTTCATCGGCCCATTATAGGATGAAACCATTACATTTTAGCATGGTAATACAATTTAAATCCGAGCAGAGACAAACTTCACATGGCACATCAACCCGTCAACCTTACTTAAATTGACACTTCTGTATCTTAACTTAACCAAAGAGAAAGAGCTCTAGTTAAAGAAATATCGATAGTAATTCCGCGGAAGAAATGTTCCCTACTTTATGTGGACATTTACCCAATTTGGCGGTATTTAATTCCTTTATGATTTGTTAGGTGGTCATTGAATGGCTGTTAAAAAGTTGTAGGACCAATCGCATTTAGCGACAGAAATATGGGAAGCCTACAAATCAAAGGCATTTACCTCGTTTTAATTTAAGGAAATACAATCTATCTTTGGCTTTTTTAAGATCTCCACAATCTTCTAATTTTTGTTTTTCAAATAATGCAATCATCTTCGTTAATTCATCAATATCACCATCTTTTGTAGCATCTATCAACTTCTGACGAACTCGTTTCTGAAATTAGAATTTACATAGATCAAATTTAATGATATTTATTTCAATAGCAGGTACCATTCGATGAAGGGTATGCGTTAACGCCGCTGTCCGTGAAAAATTGCACACGTACCAATATGAATATAAATTGATTCCTCCTGTGATGGAAGGCCATTAGACACATTGGTACAGAGTGACGAAAGTGAAATTCATCAAAGCTGCTTTTTGAATTTTGGATTTGTTGTTCCAGCTAAATTATTTTACCTTGACTCCGAACTTGAACATATTAGTTCAGATAATGAATATTGGAGTATAAGGCCACACAAATGTAATTATGAGAATCGCGTTACCCTCGACAGACCAGCTGTCATCAAATTTTGCTAAGGCCTTAAGAGTGTATCCGCGAGAAGACCATGCAAAAATCGCAAAAAGTGCTAAGATGGGGGGTCGGAAGTTTTTGATCAAACTTATGGTATGACACCCCCTAGGGGCAAGAGGTAACATGCTGAAGTGGTTACAGTCTGATGTCGCTCTAAAGGACTGTGCTGGAATTATTCATTTTATGGGTAAAATTGCGGTTTTCACATGTGTATTTATCACCTTTTTTAAGCACAGACTGCATTCTATGGTGGAATAGAAACCTTCTAATTTTGACCCTGTCTGATAAAGAGGGTGGTCAACTTCTACCCCAGCACTAATTTGAAAAAAAAAAATCAGTACATACTAATTTTGTGTGGACTTGTTTTAGCGTACCATATTCACATTGTCCTTATAATGCAGAAAAAGATACACTGTAACTTTTTCTTTCATGGTCGCAAGTAGAATTTCTTTGGATGGTTTTGAAGTGCTAAGCACATAGTATCCATAGGTGTAAAAAAAGGACCGGAATGCAACATACTTAAAATATACAGCTTATTGAAAAGTGCTAAAAATAAGCTTTTGTGATACATTTTTTTGCAAATTTAATTAGAGAAATAAAATTTTTGACTTTTATACGTTTTCATCATATCCATAGCCATTATTTGTACCATGTTGTACTCTATATAAGTGTGTATTTGTATTTATTGTATATTTGGTATTGTCGTATTGTCCCTTTAACATATTTGTTGTATTTTCTCTTTAAGATTTCATTTTCAAACAAGTTACCGAAAATGGCTACAAAATGTTTAATTTCAGAGCATGTTTCCACTATTCATTATGGGACACATCCACTGATTTCTACAATACAGAAATGTGGAAGATTAAATATTAATGGCAACGAAGCCTAATTGCGTCGAAGTGGGTGACATTAAACAGTGTAGTATGGTAGCTACAGCTCTCGGGCACCGTCAGCTGCACCTTCAGGGCCGGATTTAGAATAAGAGAGGCCCTAGGCAAACCCCCTGAACAGGGCCCACGACATGGACCTTGGGGCCCTGGGACAAGCAACTCGGTGAGAGGGTGGGTCGGGGGAAGTCATGTGGTTGGTGGTTCGAATCTCACTATTAGGTGAATTTTCCATTTTCGTTGGATTATTTTATTTAAAATAATGTCTATTTGAGAGTAATGGATATGTTTGTTAAGATTGAGCACGTCGAAACTCCAATGTAAGGTCGTCGTGGACAACTGCAGAAGTCAATTCCCGTTGACGCCAGATGAGCCATGAACGATTACAGGCCTTTGAAAGTATTTTTTTCAAGATATTTTTATAAAACAGATACTAATGTATTTTAGGGCTGGTAGTAAACACCATATGATTGAAAAGGAAAATAAACTGTTAGGTTTTTTTTTATCTACTACGGTTAATTATCTCCAAAATAGGGAAATTACAGGTTAATTTCATGGATTATTGTTTCCTTTACCTAGTTTTTGTCAAGTCGATTCCGGTCATTTTTATTTTTTGTATCAAATGTTGGGAGGTTGCTTGTTCACGTGAGCATAAATTTTTTAAACCCACCCCATGAAAGAAGTAGCTATAGGGCGTCAAACTTTGGGTGACGAAAAATGGGGAATTTAGACAGGCGTTGATATCCAGTCCGTATACAGATCTCGTTAATATTGTGGTAACAGCACTGAGTCATCGATAAACTGTGTGAGTTTGGTCTTTCTGCTACGTATAGTAAAGGTGTAAGGACTTGCCAAAGTTGGTATTTGAGAAAAGACAGATTTTGGCAATTTCACCATATGAAAAATGTTTTTTTCAATTTTCTCATACAGGAATTAAAAGATTTATCTAATATTGCACATTTATGTGTTTTGGGACTATCCCAACTTATAAACCAAATTTGGTCAAAATCTGTGATTGAAGCCTTAGCACCTTCTGCATGGCTTTCTCGCGGACACGCTCTTAAAATTGATTTTTTCTTTAGTTACGAACCATCGGCAGACGTTTCTGGTGTATCCCCACAAACAGGGTGCAGGAGACTTAATCATTAGTAAATTTGCGGGCGACAGTGTCGAGTGAATCCGATGAAATTTTCGGATGAAATTCGCTATCCCCATTGCAGCACACCCGGCCCAGAAAAGTCTATTATACCAGCCCATTCTAGAATCCAGTGATGGCGTGGCGGCCCGTTAAAACCACCGGCCACATACAACACGATCATCATCGCTCCATGGCCGGTCCAATACCCCCCCCCCCCCCCGCATATAATGTTCAGCAGAAAAGGTTTTTTTTAGACGAATTGGACAAAATTATTTTTTTCATTTTTTGTCCGATCGCCCGCTGGCCCAATCCGCCCCTGGTTGCGTCACATAATGACGTGTCCTGTCGATTCACGTTAATGGCAACATGTAGTTTTTCTTGACAACTTCTCTCATTCGTCTAAATTATTATATAATTGTCAGATTCCCACTGTCGTCCGATGTATTACGAGAGGATTTTCCCTATTGTGTCCACGATCTGGTACATGCAGATACGTTCGGATACGTTTCTACACGAATGCTACGACTGACCTCAATATATGATAAGACCTGATAGGATCACCACGATTACTCCACGAGTAAAACCACGATTTCAATCACAGCACGAATCGTGATATTGGGAACATAGCATAAATAAACTGAATGAATAAATTCAAACCTTGAAACCCCGGTCGTTGTTTTCTGTTTCTTGTCTCTCTTCCGATGTCTCCTCGTCCTCCTGATGATATTTATCTTTTGATCGCTGAAAACATAAAACGAAATGAATAACAACAAGTGTACATGGTGTTAAAACAAAATACAACGGCCCTTACTCACAAAAAACTTAAACTAAAATCCTTAAAATCTTAAGATAAGCAGTATTCAAAGAAACCAATTTTAAGTTATAATCAATTTTAAGAGATTTACGTTTTGGTGAATAAGGTGCAGGGTTGATAAGATAAAGAACTGAAGACCCATCTTAAAGATTCTTTGAACTAAAACCCCATCTTAAAGTATCATTGAGCTGAAAACCCATCTTAAAGCATCACTGAGCTGGAAACCCATCTTAAATTGTCAATGAGCTGGAAGCCCATCTTAAAGCATCACTGAGCTGGAAGCCCATCGTAAAGTATCACTGAGCTGGAAGCCCATCTTAAAGTATCACTGAGCTGGAAAACGGTATTAAAGGTTGTCTAAACTGAAAACACATTTTAAGGGGTCACTGAATTGAAAACCTATCTTAAACCTTCACTGAACTGACAAGCCATCTTAGGGGTTCTCTGAACTGAAACCTTAACTTAAAGCATCATTGAACTGAAAACTAGTCTTTATAAGGTTCACTGAACTGAAAACTCGCCTTTATAAGGTTCACTGAACTGACAACTCGCCTTTATAAGGTTCACTGAACTGACAACTCGCCTTTATAAGGTTCACTGAACTGAAAATCCGTCTTATAGGTAGGTCACTGAACGGAAAACCCATCTTAAAGGTCAGTAAATTGAAAATCAACCTTAAGGTTTCTATCAACTTAAACATGTCTAGAATATCAGCAGGACAATTCGTATACGTGTCTTCAACGGTTAAAAAAGGCATTGCTATCTTAAAGGTCATATTTTAAAATGAAAATAGACTTTAATTATTATTAAACATACATTATGCAAGAATTAAATCTGCCTATTGCGTGTCTTTCTTTGGGTCTTAAAAGTTATTTAAATTATTAATTAGATATTAATTAACTTATCCAGACTATAATCAACTCTCGATGTCATTGCTAGCCTGCAATATTTACTGGGTTAGAATCGATCGCCTGTCTAAAGCTCATTGATGATAAAATCAAAAAATGGATAATAAAGACTATGATTTTTATCGTACCGACTTTAGTAATGATGATCGAGGCTAGGCCTTAAATTCAATCTCTAAAATCTAGGTTCAGAGTGGATCAATTTAAATTAAATTTTCAGCAAATTCCCTTTACATTATCTAGTGTTTAACTATCTGCCAGCTCTTTATTTAATCTCCCATAATTTATCTTTAATATAACCAGAAGGAATTGTTAACTATCTAAAATTCTTTTTAGAATACACAAGATTATTTTCTTTCAGACCCAGAGTTCTAAGACTTGGGTTAAGAATTTACTCAAATTTCAATCACTGATTATGAGAAATATTTTTTGATCTAGAAACACAAAAATATGCACTTAGTTTCTTGTTGAAGTATTTGATAGACTAACACAACAAAGGTTTTATAAAGGGCTATATTTTAGTTAAAATAAGACGAACCATTTTGAGTAAATTCCTAACTGAAGTCTGAGAATGCTTTGTGAACTCGAGGCCTGAACTGATTCTATGTTTTGAAGATTCCCTTCAAAAACACCAAACAAATTAAATATACGTATCGTACATTCACTGAAGTATATTTGGTGGTTTATACCTGCGGTATTCTAGAAACCGATCTAAAAGTCGACTCCCTAAGAAAACAGATTACTTACTTTTGGGTTTCCACCGGCTTTTCTTGGTGAACTCTGTGGTGATTTTCTTGGTGATTTATTTTCAGCCTAAATATAAAATATATCACCAATTATCGACGTAGCATGTAAATATGTTACAGTGGCATATAGTTAATGGGGGGTCACGGTGGCTAAGTGGGTGGCTAGTCTGGAGGTCGGGTGTTCGATCCCTGCATTAGCCTAGAAAGTTTATCCAGATTTTCCGGCGTAGTTCCCCCTTGTCAGTGATGCAGGACGGAGGTCCCGTGTACACATTGCCGTGCACGTAAAAGATCCCTTGACAGATGGAATTCGAGTAGGCCGTAGTGCCGCTGTCCGGCCAAAATTTCCCTCATAGCTCACTCTAGGGTGTATACCCGCCTTCATTAGCCCAGTTTAGTGCAGAATAGTAGGACGTTAAACCCCATTTCATTTCATTTCATATAGTTAATATTTACAATTGAGCATGGTATATTAACATCTAGTTGTTTATTTATGGTTCACGTTTGATACAAAAATGAAAAGAAATGGGGTTTAACGTCCTACTGTTCTGCTCTGACTTGGCTAATGAAGACGGGACACATGGGGGAAATTTCCCTTTGCTTTCGTCATTGTTGTTTAATGAAATCTTCATTACGCATCTATCGCAGTAATGATCTCTGTGTTAAAATTATATTTGGAATGTGTTTAACCAATCCTATCACATATGTAATAATGACTGACACCAATATTGTCCTTTAATTGTTTTCCTTTAAATATAACACAATGGTGGAAAGAGAGAGAGAGAGAGAGAGAGAGAGAGAGAGAGAGAGATGGGGTTTAACGTCCACTCGACACAAACTAGGTCATTTCGGGACTAATATGGTTCTAATTTTATTTCAATAATTTGCTTTAGCAGTGGGAGGAAACCGGAGGACCCGGATAAAACCCAGGAGGTTGGACAGGCGACCCTACTCCTTGCCACGTACAACCGGGGATTCGAAACCACTCCAGTTGACTCAATGACAGGCCTTATGATACAGCGCGCACTTGCCAACCATTCTGCCATCCAACCCCCCACGATGGTGTAGTGATATACCATTGTCTATGTATGATAAAGATAAGCCGGTGCCATGACATCAGTCAGTGCCAGGAACTCTGGTTACCATGTCAACTCTATTACCTGTATAAATCTATAAACGTGACTATGTAAATTTAATCTTAGCTTCAGGTTTATCACTAGGTGCATCGAAACAAAAGTAAACAATTTTTAATACATCACGTTCACAACAATAGCAACACTAGGAGATAAACATAACAAAGTTACGCCGACTGACTACAACTGGAAACAGACACGACACTATTGACCAACAGTAATCGACGATTTTAGTCGAAAACAATATTTATACCTCGCGTATTTTGAAAAGTGTTAAAGGGACAATAACACCCTTGCTGGCTTGAAAGCTCCAGAAAATAAATAATATCTCTATCTAAGTACTGGATGTTTAAGTTGTGTAAATTATCCATTACATCCTATTTTACTTGTCCAGAGGGTTCGAAAATATTTTTAATCGAAGTTTCATTTGAAAAGGTTTACGTTAGACGTTTCAAACCATTATGTTGAATTTTTCAAAATTTTTAAATAAGGTGTGTTAAGATGAAATTTGTATCATCAATTAATTGAAATATTGTAAAATAGTGCAATTTGTTGACCATAATAAAGATTGGGACATATTATTCAGTTACAACAAGAGAGGTATTGAGCCTTTAATTCTGCTTCCATTAAATATCATATGTTTTTATATAGTCGGGGTGTGGGTGTGTGTGTGTGAGTGTGGGGGGGGGGGGTGCATGGTCGAATGGATAGCGTGACAAGGAGTAGGGTCGCCTGTCGGGGTGTGTGTGTGTGGGGGGGGGGGGGGGTGCATGGCCGAATGGTTAGCGTGACAAGGAGTAGGGTTGCATGTCCATCCTCGTGGATTTTCTCGGGTTCCTACAGTTTCCTCCCACTGCTAAAGACCACTACGCGCATACGAATTACTGAAATAAAATTGAACCATATGTTTGTCCCGAAATGACCTGGTTTGGGTCGAGTGGACGTGACATCCCCCCTCTCTCTTTCTCTATCTCTCTCTCTCTATCTCTCTCTCTCTCTCTCTCTCTCGTTTCTGTGTGTATGAAAGATGTAAAATGGATTAGAACCACATGACAAAATACTATACACATTTTGAAAATGGCTCACTGAAACTCAATAATATAGTGTGGAGTCATTTATAATTCATTAATATTTATTTTATGTAACACACGTGCAGTAAAAAAAAATGTCACAGTGAAAAACAAGGGTTAAATGTAAGCAATATAATACCTGCTTTCCATGTACGCGTTTCCGCGCGCGATTTTCTTTTTTTTTATATTTTTCTATTTCCATGTGTACAGACCAATCACTGAAAAATTTAGGGAATCCCAAGTAAATGACGTGTCATAAGAGAGGATTTCTCTTTACAACATGTAGCCTGACATTGTTTACGTTCAGTCGACGCCTTTTTGTAATAACTTGGTCACGCATGAGTAAACTTCACGCAAGAAAACACGCCGAAGAAAAGCTACGAAAAAGTCGCTGATATATGGAAACGGTCCCAGAACATTTGCAGTAAACCGACTTTGTGGTCGGCGGAAACGCGTACATGGAAACGGGCCTAACTTATAATATATTAGAATATATTTTATGTAACAAACGTGTAGTAAAATGGGTAATCTATAATATTAGAACATATTTTATGTAACACACGTGCAGTAATATGGGTAAAAATAGTATGCATGTTGAAAAATAAAATATGATAATGGTCAGTTATCCGCGACTACTCTTTCCATACAAGGGAGCCTTCATAAATACATTTTACACTAGACAGGGTATGGAAGCCCGACCTGTACTAACACCTCATACTGTTTCCTAATCCTATTTAATTGGAAGATGTATGCAGTTGTCAGAAAGAACAGCCTAACTAAACCAAGCTTTTGAACACCATATATTTCACTAGATCGATAGAACTAAGACGGCGGACAAGGGGCAGATAACTTGAACACCATATATTGCACTAGATCGATAGAACTAAGACGGCGGACAAGGGGCAGATAACTTGAACACCATATATTGCACTAGATCGATAGAACTAAGACGGTGGACAAAGGGCAGATAACTTGAACACCATATATTGCACTAGATCGCTAGAACCAAGACGGCGGACAAAGGGCAGATAACTTGAACACCATATATTGCACTAGATCACTAGAACCAAGACGGCGGACAAAGGGCAGATAACTTGAACACCATATACTGCACTAGATCGATAGATTCAAGAAGGCGGACAAAGGGCAGATAACTCCACATTATATATCAACTTAAATGCTGAAAGAAAAACCGAGTGATAAAAGTATAGTCAATAAACAAAATGTTGGGTTATATTTGAAGTAAAAGTAGATATGATATATGTCTAGTAAATCAATTAAACAATTTAAATGGAATAGATAATACGTTTCGTAATATGGGTAGTTATATCGGGTAAATTGGGGAACATATTTCAGAGCTGCTAAAAAAAATTGGAAAACAGAACAACATATAACAGTGAAATTAGAGAGGTTTAGAAATTAACGAGTTCCAATCTACCTAATAGATTCCCACTGTCATGCGATGCGTCACGATAGGATTGTTCCTATTTAGTCCACGATCTGGTACGTTCAGATATGTACGGGTACGTATCGATACGATCAACACGATTGCTACGACTGACATCAATATATGATAAGACCTGAAAGAATCACCAAGATTAAAACCACGAATCGTGATAGTGGTAACTTAGCATTATCAGAAGCCATCTTGATAGTGGAAACTTAGCATTAAGTGTTGATCAAAGTAGAACTTGAGACATCAAGAAGGGTTTATCAATATTTTGATACTCACAAAGTCTATACAATAAATGGACTAGAACTACTGCAGTTTATCGAACAATCTCGGGAACTATTACCATTATTTAATATAGAAGTGTTGATATGAATTATGAATAGAAAAGTCGTCTAAAACTACCACAAAAAGTAGTACAAGTGTTTAAACATCCGTTCTGAATAGACAAGTCGTCTAAAACTACTTTCAAAGTTGTCGCAAAAAAAAAAGAAATCGTCGTTGTGAAATTTACCAAACCTCTCTGGACAACATTTAGAACACGGTAGTGGGTGGTAATAGATGAAAATGGCTGACTATATTACCGAATTTAAAGCGACAGATGTTTTACTGGAAGTGGGTGTTTGCCAAGCCGCTGATTCACTGATAATCAAACTCACTTTATCCCCCTCCTCAATCTCCTCACCCCCCTCTTGTTCAGGGAAATATGGCGGTGAGTTCTCGTCACGTGTTTCCGGTTCATTACTGGGTGATTGTAATGGCATTGACCCAAATTCCTTTGGAGCAGCAGAATAAAGAAAGAAGACAAAAGTTAAATCTATGGTTATTATTCTACACAAAAAAAATAATATTGAATATCCTGGCCTATTTTACATACACAAAAAAAAATATTGAATATCCCTGTCTATTGAATGAATCGCTAAATGGGAGGTCGTTGGCCGCGAAAGATCATCACCATATTTCGGCGTGATTTCCCATGTCAGTGGCGCAGAACGGAGGGCCTGGTAATGACAGCTGTCTAGTTGTTGGGATGTATACATTGGCGTGCACGTAAAAGATCCCTTGGCCGTTGGAATTTTATATAACAGTAGGCCATAGTACCGCTGCCCGGGCAAACTTTCCCCCATAGCACACTGTATGGCGTATGCCCGTCTTTATTAGCCCAGTCGGAGTAGAACAGTAGGACGTTAATCCCTATTTCATAATATGACAAATCGCAATCTCCCTTCATGTCCAGGTGATTTTTTTGAGTAAACTTTGGGCTAAAAAGAATTTAAAATACCACGATATAGAAAACTTGAAATTGAAATGAAATGGGGTTTAACGTCCCATTGTTCTGCTCCGACTGGGCTACTGAAGACGGGCATACGCCATACAGTGTGCTATGTAGTATGAGGGCAATTATGCCCGGACAACGGTACTATACGGATTAAAATATGTAGCAGATGTGGCTTTTGGTTCAGAGCTAAACTACATTCTGGAATTTCAACTTTGGCCCAACAAAAATACACAAATCGTATTCTCATTAATTTAAAAAAATTTTTTAAAAAATAAATACGAGAAGCCACTGGCCATTCCACAGTGGATATTTATACAGACGATGTGATAAATGATAAGGCCAGCTCAATTTTTCGTCAAGGGTCACGAGATGTAAACAGGGTTAGGGTTGGGTTAGGGTTAGGGTTAGGGCTAGAGCTAATCCCAGTCTTAACCCTAACCTTGGATCTAACCCTAGCACTTACCCTAATCCTAACCTACAATCTCGCAATCTGATTAAAACAACGATCCTATTTCGTTTCGTTTTTATAGTCCAAAATTTTGTTTTACTTGTCTTTACTACACGAGGATGATTGGCGTGTTCTGAACAGTGTGAGGTAATAGCTAATGAAACGGTCTGTTACAACGAGCCTGTTTTGCACGGAATTGTGGGTAATCCACTAGTAACATCAATGCTGATTGGTTAATCAAATGTCTCGCGTCAAAAACCGCTCGTATGACCTCTGACGTGACCTATCGCAACAACCGGTCAGATCTTCATGTAGTGTAGGCCATCGAAAGTAAAAAAAAAAAGAAACGAAATATAGATCTGTATTTTAACCAGATTGACAATCTCGCCAACAATCACGTGTCCTAACCTTATTTACATCTCAGGGACCTTGACAAACGTTGCGCTGGCCTTATCAAATAGATTTAGCCTTCCATAGTGGGTATATATATATACTATTCAAAAAAAGTAGGGGATATTTGATTTTGGGGGCATAATACTAAAATATGCAAATGACTACGAAAAAAGTCACTATAGAACCTAACAGAAGAAACATTTCCAGTTACATGTGACGCCCAAACGCACCAATAGCTACCGCATGGAATGCAGGTGATGCTTGGGATCATCATGGGGGTCCAACCCAAGATTTGCACGACTCTGACTTTGAATGTTACAGTCATTGTGGCATTGAATTCCAGGGTGGAAACATCAGTTTAATTGTTTTAGTGACCAGAAAACAAATTTTGATATGCGTCGGCTTACCCAAAATGAAAGGCTACGTGCCCTTGGCATGCAACATATCGGCACAACACAGGCGGTTGTGGCGCGGACGATGAATGTTTCTCAGTCTGTCATAAGCAGGCTATGGTCCAGATACCGTGATACACAATCTGTACAGGACAGACCACGCTCAGGTCGACCAAGGGCGACAACTCAAGCCCAGGATCGATTTATCCGTACCTTGGCCTTGAGAAATCGTGTCATCACAGCAAATCAGATCAGCGCTCGTCTTCAAACAGACACTGGTGTGAGAGTGAGTGGCCAGACGATTCGGAATCGACTGCATAGGGGTCACCTTCGCGCCCGACGTCCTCGCGTGATCCCTTGTTTGAGAGATCATCACATTCAGGCAAGACGTCGTTGGTGTAGGGATCGTCAACACTGGGATAATCGACGCTGGAGCAATGTGATGTTTTCAGATGAGTCAAGGTTCACTGTTGATTTTTTGGACAGACGTAGGAGGGTGTGGAGTCGTCGAAACGAGCGCTTCCAAGACGTTAACGTCATCAGACATGATCGATTTGGGGGTGGTTCTGTTATGGTGTGGGGAGGCATCACTGTTGCTGAAAGAACGGCTTTACATGTTGTTGCAGGGCGTGTTACAGGCCAGTACTACCGGGACAACATCTTGGCAGTCCATGTTATGCCGTTCGCACGACGTCATGGCCGCCGTTTCATCTTCCAGGATGACAACGCAAGATGTCACAGGGCCAGGATCGTTACAGGTTACCTCCAACAACAGAGCATCACCACATTACCTTGGCCAGCACTGAGTCCCGACCTCTCCCCCATCGAGCATGTCTGGGACATGCTTGGACAGAGGTTACGTCAACGTCAACAACGTCCTGCCAATGTCCAAGAACTTGCTGCTGCGTTGCAACAGGAATGGGACAATCTGGACCAAAATGACCTTAGACGTCTCATTAGGAGTATGCCACGTCGGATCAATGCTTGTTTGGCAAACAGAGGAGGATTTACCCGTTACTGACTTGGTTGTGATGCTGTGGTAACTTTGCTGTTTGACCCCGGGTATCATTTTACCCTTATAATGGTCAGTCTGTGCCTTACTTAGTCTAACGATCATTTGGAATAAATCGATGAATGTGAACTTCATTTCATTTTGTCATTTGTTTCTTCGTCAGTTTCATTAGGTGACTTTAATAACACTTAAAAATCAAATATCCCCTACTTTTTTTGAATAGTATATATACGATATGTTTATCAACTTCCGGTGAATCTGTAGATGGTTAGATCAATATGTATGATATATCTATGTTAATGTCTTGGGAAACATGAAATAACAGGGATATTCAACATGTTCATAATTTATTAATTACATATCTAACACCCACATGCAATATGTGCAGAGATAAGAAAAATAACCCGTGAATTTCTCATCAATCGTTAATTTCATTATATCATATAATCATTAATTGGCATGAATTGAAATGGGGTATAACGCCTAATTTTTCTGCACAACGCTTGTACGTGGCAAGGAGTAGGGTCGCCTGTCCAGCCTCGTGGGTTTTCTTCGGTTTCCTTATACAGCTAAAGTCCCATAAGGACCAGCGAATTATAGAAATGTTAGTACCGAATTGATCTAGTTTGTGTCGAGTGCTCTCTTTTTCTGCACCAAACCGGCCATGTAGTGTGCTGTTAGGGACATTTTGTTCGGACGAGTACACAGTACCGCCTCGTGTTTTTGGCCCTATCCGAATGACTAAATGATGTGTCTTGCTCGATCTGTAGTCCTGCTGGCTAAATGGGTAAGACGCTGGCTCGCTAGTCTACAGGTCGCGGGTCCGATTTCCCGCGTGGTTTCTCCTTATCAGTGGTGCAGGACGGAGGGCCAGACTCGGACAGCTGTCTAGTCGTTCGGATGGCACGAAAAACCGAGGTCTCGTGTATACATTGGCGTGCACGTAAACGATTCCTTGGCAGTTGGGATTCAATTTAAAAGTAGTCCATAGTGCCGCTGCCTGGGCAAAATGTCCCTCGTACCACACTGGATGGCGTATGCCCGTCTTCATTAAACTAGTCGCAGCAGTACAGTAGGACGTTAAACCCCATTTCATTTCATTTCCATAGTCCTGCACAACTGGAACGCGGAAGCAGGCTGCGAAATCCCGAGAAACTTCTCGGTCAACACCGCGTTGAAATCAATGATCTCCTGGGTAGTGGGTTATCACTGTACCCACCCTGGCTCCTAATTGGTGAGTCGAAAGATAATATCAGTTTCACAAAATGACAGCTTAGGACTCATGGAAGATTATTGTTTTTTGCAAACTAAATAAGTTGCCTCATTAAATAAAGTTTTTATTATTATTATTCCATTGCATCAACAATCCACCATAATAAATACAACAGTCCTTAAATCTAATTCATAATAAAACAACTACGATGTTCGAACCTGTACCGTCTTACATTTAATATGTTTAATAATCGCCATCTTCTCGAATCAATCTGATTACAATACAGATCTACATTTCGTTTCGTTTTTTATACTTTCGATGGCCTACACTACATGAAGATCTGACCGGTTGTAGTAAAAGGTTGCATCAGTGGTCGTACGATTAATCAATCAGCGCTGACGTTTGTAGTGGTTTACCCACAGATCCGTGCATCGCACGCCAAGAAGTCGACGTAACAGATGGTTTCATTGACTAATCCCTCACGTCATCCAGAACGCGGATTATATAACAACTCTTCCAGATCCTAGTGTAGTACAGACAGATAAAACGAAATTTTGAACTATAAAAAAAAACGAAACGAAATGGGATCTGTGTTTTAATCAGATTACTCTCGAATCATGAATTTATTTGCAGGTATATTTACATAGTTACCTGTTTTGATTCTTTTCTCTCCTGGTCAGGTGACGCTTGACCTTCGGTAGGTGTCGACGAGCCACAGCCCATTACTTCCGGTTTGATTTACATCCGGTTATTCCATTATGGTGAACTGTTGAGAAAGAGTGAAATAGATACGATGAAAATTGTGCTGTAATTAAACCCTCTCGGTGAGCTGCACTCTGTTAATGTCGCAAACAAAGTGATTTTTAATACGAAGTTGTCAAGGAAATAATCTCATCGATTTGCATCTTCCCAGCATTGTAACCTTGATGTCTTTGGGATCTATAGACTTTTGTTCGTCCATTAATTTATATTGATATAATAATACTATATATTTAGAAACCTACTTTATTGTGTTGTTTGTATACATTTAGAAACCACAATTACAGAAGCAAAGTGGTGACATTGATCTGCTAAACACAAAACATATGCAAATAATAACCTACAACAATAGCCTAAAACAATAGTCTACAATAATAGCCTAAAACAATAGTCTACAATAATAGCCTACAACTATAGACTAAAACAATAGTCTACAATAATAGCCTACAACTATAGACTTAAACAATAGTCTACAATAATAGCCTACAACTATAGACTAAAACAATAGTCTACAACAATAGCCTACAACTATAGACTAAAACAATAGTCTACAATAAAAGCCTACAACAATAGCCTAAAACAATAGTCTACAATAATAGCCTACAACAAGCCTAAAACAATAGTCTACAATAATAGCCTAAAACTATAGACTATAACAATAATCTACAATAATAGCCTACAACTATAGACTAAAACAATAGTCTACAATAATAGCCTACAACTCTAGACTAAAACAATGGTCTACAATAATAGCCTACAACAATAGCCTAAAACTATAGACTAAAACAATAATCTACAATAATAGCCTACAACTATAGACTAAAACAATGGTCTACAATAATAGCCTACAAGAACACTTGATAGCTGCAATTCGAAACCACCGACTGGCAGGCATTAACGTCACACCCGTCCGGGCAAAATATCACTATGCATACCCGTCGTCATTAGCACGGTTAATACGAAATGAAATGAAATGGGGTTTAACGTCCTACTGTTCTGCTCCGAACTGGGCCATTGAAGACATGCACATGCGATACCGTGTGCTATGAGGGAAATTTTGCCCGGGCAGCGGCACTACGGCCTAATCTTTTATCGAATTCAAACTTTCAAGGGATCTTTACGTGCAAGCCAATGGTTTTTCGTCCCATCCGAACGACTAGACAAATGACATTGCCAGGTCCGCCACCCTGCACCACTGACATGGGGAAATCATGTCGAAAAATCCCGATGAACTTTCTCGGCCGATACAGGGATCGAACACAAGACCTCCAGGCAAGCAAGCGAGCGTCTTACCCACTTAGCCACCGTGGATTCCTTCCATTTAAGATCAATATAGCTATCAATCTTGTTCTTTTGTTTTGTTGTTTTAAACCAAGTCTAGAAATGGGGTATTGAGTTACTTTAACAAGTTTTAAAACAAATCCATACTTTAATTCACAAGTAGTACTGAAGCGAGTTAAAGTAGATTTCAAGATCAATATAACTATGCTGGTATTGTTCTTTAACCATGTCTATAGATTTACAGGAATTGGTGGAACTTGTTTAAATATAGATACTTTATCAACTACGCCTAGTTATCAAACAATAATAAAATGATTAAACATCCCATGCCCTCGCACATGGAGTATGATTACGTGGATATATACAATGTCTACCACTCGGCAGACCTCAGCAGATTCCAGTACCCTACATCTACCCACGGCTGTATGACTAGACGAAGTATCCCATTGGAACTACTTTCAAGTTCCCTGATTAACAACGGCGTTGCCTATGACGACGCCTTTGAAGAATGTTTTATCATACAAAGCTTTCAAAGTCTGAAGCTGTTTTTCTTTCAAATTTACCCGATTTTCTTCAAACAAGGACAACTTTGCGCTGAAAATAATTCTACACACGCTTCGAACGACCCAATTTTGATAACTTCTTTTTAAAAGCGGCAAGTTTTCCTAATAAGTAAACTGGTGCCGCATCGCAATTGTATAGGCGTAGGTACATATCACTTACCGTCATACAGCCGACGCTAGATGTAGGGTAACGGAATCTGCCGAGGTTTGTCGAGTGCAATGTTTACGTTGTTGTCAAGTAACATCCAAATGGGAGTCATGGTGGCTCTGTGAGCCATAAACGTATTTTAGAGCATGGGACGAATAAACGAGGCTCCGTGTACACGTTAGTGAGCAAGTAAAAGAACCCTTTACAGTTGGAATTAGATGGAGAGCATGCGCAAACGCCAAAATCCAAGCAAATGCCACTGCATGGCTGCCCATCTTCATTATCCCGGTTGATGCATAAATGTAGGACGGTAAACCCCATTTCATTTCCAAATCAAATAAAGGTGCTATATTACTCAATAGTAAGTGTAGCGTGACCTGTTGCTCAATCCCATTCGTTCATGAATTGTGTAAATCGGAAGGTGGGGGGAGGGGGGCACTACACGCAAAACAAAACCGACGAGTATAAAAAATCCCGAACATGCACATACGTTTACATAGGCATGGGATATAATCGAATTTTACCTTAACAATAAAAGTAAATTTGTATTACGAATTTTCAATTTCCCATTTCGTTTCGTTTTTATAGTTCAAAATTTCATTTTACCTGTTTTTACTACACTAGGATCTAGAAGAGTTGTTATCATTGACGTGTTCTGAATAGTGTGAGGTAATAGCCAATGAAACGGTCTGTTACGGCGAGCTTGTTTTGCACGGCACTGTGGGTAATCTACTAGTAACATCAATGCTTATTGGTTAATCAAAAGTCTGACGTTATAGGGTCAAAAGCTGCTCGTATGTAGTGTACGTCATCGAAAGTATAAAAAACGAAACGAAATATAGATCTGTATTTTAATTAGATTGAGGAATTTTAGCATTAACAAACAGGTAGCTTAAACATGCATTATGACGTCACATTAATAATGACGTCATTGTAATAATCATAATTAAACATACATTATTATACATACATTATTATAAATCTGCCTATTGCAGGTCTTTCTTTAGACCTGGAATGTTAAATAAATTATTAATTAGACATTAATTAACTTATCCAGACCACAATCAACTATCGATGGCATCGCTAGCCTGGGATATTTACTGGATTAGGTTCCGATCTGCTGCTCTACGCCAATTCATGATTACATCAAGAAATGGATAATCGAGACTATGTATTTTTTATCGTACCGACTTTAGTAATGATAATCGAGGCTAGGCCCAAAACTCAATTGCTAAATTCTCGGTTCAGAGTGGATCAATTTGACTGACATTTTCAGCATATTCCCTTTACATTATCTAGTTTGTAGCTTTTTATCTAATCTTCCATAATGGCCCTTTAATTCAAAAAACATTAAATTTAATCGTATTTAATTTGTCCCAATAACACATCAAATCAATATAAACAATCATAGTTATTACTTTTCGTTCGACTGCGCGCAAACAAACCTTGTACATGCATTGTTTTGCACGACGAACAACATATTTTGTCTGAACTTTAGAATTGTTTTTATGATTCAGTTATTGAATTGTGCATGCTTTGTTTTGCACGAAGAACAAGGGATTTTATTTGAACGTAGGAAATTTTTTTTATGATTTGGTTATTGAGTTATTAGATTTGCACTGAATCTTTCACAGACAAAAAAATATATTATGACATTGGTTAAGTAATGAAAAATCAACGAACAAAAGAATATTGTGTCCGACGTGGGTTTTGGTCGATAAGTAAACTAAACGCATGTAGATCGATGTTTATAGCACGTTGGAGATATTATAGGGCAGCCAGGTACAGAAGTAGAACTAGAGTGCACGCCATCGGTTGGGATTAGGTACTACAGAACGGGGCCGTTGAATGGTTATTAACATCATAATTATTGGGCATCATATAACCCAATCGACACGATATTGGCCGGATGGTTAATGTGTGCACGTTAAATCATAAGGTCTGTCATTGAGTCAAGTGGCGTGGTTTCGATTTTCCGCTTGCACGTGACAAGGGTAGGGTTGCCTGTCAAACCTCGTGGGTTAACTCCGTGTCCTTCAGTTACTTCCCAGTGCTAAAGATCCCTATGCGCAAGCGAATTATGTTAGTTCCGAAATGACCTAGTTTCGTTTGTGTCGAGTGGACGTTAATCTCTCTCTCTCTCTCTCTCTCTCTCTGGAGTCATAGAATTTCTTAATCGCTCCTCTATATCCATCCAAATCTGAGAGAGAGAGAAATGGGGTTTAACGTCCACTCGACACAAACTAGGTCATTTCGGGACTAACGTATGGTTTAATTTTATTTCAATATTTCGCTTGCGCATAGGGATCTTTAGCAGTGGGAGGAAACCGGAGGACCCGGAGAAAACCCACGAGGTTGGACAGGCGACCCTACTCCTTGTCACGTACAACCGAGGATTCGAAACCACGCCAGTCGACTCAATGACAGACTTTATGATACAGCACGCGCACGCTAAGCATTCAGCCATCCAACCCCCACCATCCAAATCTACGGCTAGACTAGCCGGTCACGAACGTCTCGCATTTCTGCTACGTTTTCTGGGAGACACTTTACTGCGATATCATCTTAATTGGAAGCGGATGTTAAGCCCGAGATCAAGTTAATAGTATGATGCGGGACATTGCTTAGTGGGGCAAGGATTGGGTCGAAATGTTCAGGGTGGTCTTTGAATGATTACGATAAGATACCACCGCACTTTCACCCTAACATTAGAACATAGCCTCATTTTTCTTCCAATCAGATACCTTTAAAATGACCATGTGACACTGTTCTATTTCATGAAGAATGAAGTTATCTTAAGTACTTGCCATTGGCTGTAGAAAACCCCACCCACAGCTCAGGTCATGGTATGTGATCGCTAATTGGGATTAACACAGTAAGCTAACTACACGGTCTGCTGATTTAGGGTGAGCTAAATAAAGGATAAAGACAACAACATTTAATATAATTTAATTGTGGTTATATCTTAATATTTACAATATAATTTACATGCATTATATTTCAACCGTTACAGTT